AGTATTCCAAACTACTAAATAATTTTGTAAGAATTTAAAAAACAATCTCTATTTCCTATATATGACATTTGTCACCTGTCACTTTTGAAAAATCGTTTAAAAAGGACCGACATTTGATTTCACTAGTTCTATTCAGTCTACATCCTCACATCAATAGATGGTCGGGTCTTAAACCCGTACCATGACAAAAAATTTTTCAATTTTTTAACGTGTTTGTGACGTCCAGTGTCGACCTTTTATATGTTTATTTATATGTTTTAAAAATTCCAACTTCTACAAAATCATAATTGTGAAACTTAAGGAAATGAGATCTCTCCTTTGTAGTGGTATTTAAAAATTGACGTAAGTTAAAAATTACAATCTTTACCAATTAGTACTTATTAGAACATTTTATTGTAGCATAGCTCTGATGATGGCTTTGTAAAGCCGAAAGCGCTCAGCTAGGAATTGCCTAAAATATACACACTTCAAAAATACTTTTTTGCATTTTCTTTCGACTTGTCATAAGTGTGTACAAAAAATATCAGTCTTTTGATTGAATTTTCAATACTAATATTGAACCCGAAAGTAAGGAGAACCCACCTTCATAGCACCTTCCTAGACCGATTTAGTCTACCGCTCATTCGTATTCGTAATGTCTTAGTGATTGACTGTATTTACATACAAGCGTATTGTATCATATTGATACATTGCGACATAACGCGTAAGTGTTGTTTTACTTTGGTCGTATTTAAGGCTATTTTCGGTCTACTTATTATAGGTAAGTATTATTCTTAGATTACAGTGTTATTTTATATTTTTATTTTCAGTATAATGGCTGCAAAGCAGATTTATAACCTAAATAATCCGAATGATATAGATCTTCGAAAATTTATGTTAGAAGAGGACGAAAATGAAGATGCCCCAAACCAAGTGGAAGATTTCGAGGATGAACCGGACACAGATGCGGAAATCAGCCAATGGATGAAAGACTTGGTGACTCTGATATTGTAGAGACTGGGACAGAGGAAGAACCAGATTTACACGACAATTTATATAAGACCACTAGATGAACGAAAACACCGCGAGCGAAGAAGTGACGCACTAAGCCACATAACCTGGTTACAGGTCTCCCAGGAGTAATACATGAAGCACGACCAGCTAAGTTACATATAGAATGTTGGAGTCAGATATTTTCTGATAAAATGCTACAAACAATAGTCAAGTTCACAAACCAGTACATTCATCTTGAAGTAAGGGACACGGTTATGACGGAACTCAAGACCTTCATAGGCCTTTTATATCTAGCAGGAACTTGCAATTGAACTTGCAGGAAAAGATATTGAAGGATCTTTGGGGTATAGATGGACACGGCGTGAAAATATTTCGACTGGTTATGAGCTTTAGAAGTTTTAAGTTTCTTATCAGATGCCTGCGTTTCAAATACTGCATCACAAGACCTGAAAGCAAATCTGTTGATAACATTTTGCGCAGATTCGTGAACTCTTCGACGATTTTGTTCATAATTGTAAATATGGTTATTCATATGACAGTGTGTGACCATTGGCAAAAAACTGTAGGCTTTGAGGGGACGTTGCAGGTTCAAACAATATATCCTTTCAAAGCCATCCAAATACGGAGTAAAAATTTATGCTATGTGTGATGCAGTTACTTTTTATAGTTATAGCCTGGAAATTGGAAGATTGGCACAACCAATTTATGGAACGGGGCGTAATATAACGGCAGATAATTGGTTTAAAGATGTGCAACTTGTTAACGAATTAAAAAGTAATAGACTGTCGTATGCCTTGCACAATAAAAAAATAAAGGGAACTGCCAGTAGATCTGCTAAATGTAAAAGGGCGACCACCACAGTCAACTATATGTGGTTTTGGAGAAACACTCCACTATTGTTTCCTACGTACCAAAAAGAAATCGAAATGTTTTTGTTATATCTTCTCAACATTACGATGATTCCATAGATCATACGTCAGTCAGGAAAGCTACCAAACCAGACATGATCACATATTATAATAAAACCAAGTCAGATGTCGACGTTGTCGATAAGCTTGCGCTTTCTAGAACGTTGCTAGAAACACACCTCGTTGGTCCATGGTCGTTTTTTTTTCCATACTGAACGTTGCAGGCATTAATGCCCAACTGATTTTAATCGGAAACTAGGCCATGAGTTAGCATTATCACAATTACTAAAAAGAAGTTTTATGACACAAGGTATACCACATTCTCTTTCTGAAGCGCTCAGCAGATTTAGATCAACCGAAGAGCCCTATGAAGAAGCTCCAGGACCAAGTCCAGGTTGACCAAAAACGTTTGCAAGAACTCTAAACGATATATTTGTGGTGAACATGCAACTCCAGTGTGCACATTGTCACTCAAGGTTACAAGAACAAGAAGACTCAAGTAACACATAAGTGACAGATCGCCACCGCAATGAACTGAAATACAGATTTTTTTTGGTTTGAAATGTTTATAAGAAAATATTATATTTTATGTTTGCGTCATATAGGAAGGCAACATTTTATTTTTACCAATTTTCACCAATAAAATGTGAGTATTTCTGAAGATATTTATTTATTTCGTTTATCAAGATAATTTATCTGTATTTGTGTAAGATAACATTTACCTAACTTCACGTAATATTGTTTGCAGCTAGCTCTAACTATTGTTTTAATTGCTTTTTCCAGGTTACTTCCAAAATTGTACAAAAACTTTTGAAAAATTAGGATTACGAAGATCAACACAGATATGGCATTAATGTAGTGAAATATATGTTTTTCTGTAAAACCATTTTTAAAGGTAAATACTTTATTATACTAACAGTAGAATATCTATTATTAGAACGCTGAACCTTTACAATTATTTTTAATATACTTTAAAATATAGTACAAAATCAGTAGTAGTATTTATTATAAATGCAAAAAGTTACCAAGATATGTTTATGAGTGTATTAGTATAACACTGCCATTAAGTAACTAGTGTATTGCGACGTACGATAATTTTATGATTGCATATATATGGAAGTAAGTATTATACAGTTTGTTCTAAAACTTATTTTCTAATTTGAACACAAAAAATTCGACGATAACTCAGTAATAAAAATAAAACGGTCACGTAACAGTTTGCAACGTTCGACAAATTTCAAATATATTAATTCTTGTAACTAAAGTCTATATACACTTCCCCTATTTGTACAAAACGTCGAAATGAGGTGAACCAAATGTAGCATATTTTGTATTTATTTATTAATATTCTTTTATCTGAAATTAACAATATACCAAGCGGCGGCCAGCCAGGTGAAGTAGGTGAAGGTGAGGTTCACCAAAAAAATAATTAAATTGAGACAAATAAATAAAAAATAAAAGCAACATTATTATATCTAAATTCTGAAATTAATTATTTATTCTCTTTTTATTAATCTAAAAATTAAAAATATAACTAGCTTTATTAGCGGTAGGTACTTGACGGTAAAGTCCTGACCTGTGTCACTAGCCGTGTACGATTCAGGAATAGGTGAATATCATTTTTGAAATGCGGAATCTGCACAAGCGCTCACGGTTGCCATGAAAACGTGACGTCTGCCTGTCGTTAGTGATAGCTGAGAAAACTGGGCAGTGCAGATCAATTGAAAAATAAACTATCCTTCTTCACCTACTAGTTTAATGTGTATGTAGTATTCCTATTTTTCGGAAATTTTTCTCAGCGACAATATTTTGAAATTTAGTCTATTATATAGATAATTTTTATACAGTATAGGTTATGTAGTATATTTATTGGTTTAGTTTAGTCACAGTATTAAGTTTATTTGTTTAAAATAGGTAAAGAAATAATAAATAAGACTTACTCACAATCAATTTAATTTAACTATCAGACGACCGTTTTCGCTTTCTACAATATGCAAAGCATCTTCAGGTCTTGATACAAAGTTAAATAAATGCTGAAATGATAAAAACCCATATTAGGGTGTTGTCTAATAAAGATAAACAAAGTAGATGTTGGAAATTACAATAATTATGCCAATATTATATGTATGTGGTTTTATTTCAAAAAGAGTAAGTTGAATAAAAAGGTATAAAAGTTTTAAAAGTTTAAACAGACAAGGTAAGGCCCACAAATTGTCATATAGGCCATATAATTGTCTTATTGTTATATAGGCCCACAAATTACAATCTAATAGACTATTTTATGACAATTTGTGAACAACCACAGAACACTAAGTGATTAGTGTTCTGTGGTTCTACGAACAAACCTAATACAAAAGCGAACCTAACCTTAACAATGCGACCGATCTTATACGTCACATAGAGCGAAGCAAGATAACATGACGTCCCGTAAGATGGCGTGACTAGTTCGTATTAGTACAATAATCGAAAATAATGTTAAAACCTTTAAACGAAAAAAGAAAGCAGTTCATAGAGAGGACATGAAGGTATATAAGTTGATATCCAGTTATTGAAATATACCCATAACTGTATAATACGTCTGCTATTAGATGATAAACGTGAAACAGCCCAACATCCACTGTTCGACATAGGCCTCCCCTAACTGCATACCTACACTGCTCTATAATAGACAACTCCTATAATAAACGCGAAACAGCCCAACATTCACTGATCAACATAGGCCTCCGGTCAGTGTATAATATTAATATTAGTCTGCAGATAATACGAAATCTATCCTTAATAGAATCAGGTATAAACACATTCGATTATGAAGAATATTTCTTCGCTTATTCTATATTATACATACACAGAGTGAATATAAGAATTACTCACATTGTATTATAGTCCTTGGATTTGAGAATAGTATAAAATAGTGTTGAAATATTCATTTCTGATACAGAATGTAATCCTACCTTTCACTAAAATCGTACACTTGGTTCACCTCATTAAAATCATCACAAGAAAAACAATTATTTTATAAAATTCATATAAACATTTCACTAGGAGAAGTGATCACTTCACTATCCCAATTTAAATCACATTGCCTTTTTTCAATAACAGTCACCACTGCAGCATCAATTGGGTATCCGTCGGAGGAGATCCGTGCGGTCCTGGAGAATAATCTCCCTCGGGAGGCCAGTACGGAGGAGGGTATCTGGTTGCGGCGTCCTGTCGTACGCTACACGTACTAAAAGCTGCGGGGGAAGGATATCCTTGCTGAGGATATGCTGCTGTATTGCAAGTGGTATAAGAGGCTAGTTGAGTTTGGCCAAGCCAATTATCGTATCTGAAAAGAAAGACCGTGTTTTAATATTTTTGAATGTCTAGTATTGTATATTGTTAGATTTAATTTTCAAAAGATCACTTTGAAAATTTCACAGAAAAGTAGAAATTGTTTCTGTCTGTTATAATTCTCTAAATTTAGAAGTAAGTAAGTCGATTTGCTGATCAAGGATCAAAACTATTGCTGGCTTTGTGCTGATGACATAGATATAGTCACGCATTCTACAAGAGACGTGAGAGAGGTGTTTTCTCAGCTTGAGGAAAGGTACAGGTATTCTGGGTCTCCGAATAAATGAAGAAAAGACGAAATACATGGTAGTAACCAAAAATCCAAGATCAAGAGTTAGGCAGAACATCAGTATTAATGATCACAACTTCGAAGTAGTAAAGGAGTTTAAATAACTGGGGGCGATAATCACAGCTGACAAATCTCCTATGCTTATGGGCTTTGTGGATTACACAAAGGCCTTCTAACAAAGAAAAAATGTTTTAAACATTTTTTGTCTTGTTAATGATGCACAAAGAATTACTGCTTACTCTTCAAAAACTATTTTTACAAAAAAATAGTTCTACCTGTTAAACGGTTAACATGGTGATTGCCAGCCCACACTTATCTCTAAAAGATATACACAAAGAAACTTGGACATCTCCTCCACACGTACTTAACATTAAATGCATAATAGATCATCATTTTATATTGTAGACTCAAGATACCAATTAATATAATAAACGTCCGCATAAGATGAGGAGCAAATGCGGATTCTGATCACTAAATCTAATCTGATCTAATCAAATAATTCCAAATCACGAGTATGTCTATGCACACGAACAGAATTATCTTGCTCCCATATGCGTGGTTATACCAAATAAACATGTTTTGAAAACACTATTTATATAATTCTTGTATTACACAACTGAATATCCTTGACACATGAAGACCACGGCTATTGTAATACATGGTGTGTTTAAAATAACTTTTTATTTTTAACGTTTTTTAAATATATAAAAGGTGGAATATTTTATACTAACCTGGAATAAGCAGGGGGATACGTAGGTGGGGTAAATATATTTCTAGGTAACGGTAATCCGTGCTGGCTAAGGGTGTCCCCGAAAAAGGCTTTTGGATAAGGTTGGGCAGACCGATAAGGTCGCTTCATTCTTCTTCGTCTTCTGTAATTACCGTTCTCGAACATATCTTCGTACTGAGGATCAAGCGTCCAATAGTTACCTTTTCGTTCACCGCCACCTTCTCTGGGTACCTATAAAGAAAAACAGTGAAAGTGGTATTTTCTTATAAGAACTTAGCATTTATGTACATTATAAAATGTTTATCCAGTCTTATAAAACAAAAGGTAAACATTAAAAATTGCAATGAATTGAAACGAAATGCGTTACGAATTACGAAATTTTCGCATGTTTTGCAGCAACCTTGTTAAGAGATTATGTTATACTGTCTGGATGCCAGTTGGTTAGCTTCTCAATTATTCGCAGTGGGGACCATGCCTGCCGGTTTGTTTTTTTTATTTGATTTGTTTGTTTCAGCTGCAGGTGTGATCTAATTGGTCAGAGAACTTCTTCCAATTTACTTTTCTAAGATTCCACCTAGGTCGAGGATATGATCCAATTATTGGGATTAAAAGGTCGATGTTGATTATGTGGGAAGTCTGTAAACATACTTCTCGCAGTTTTAGTGATTTACCTTTGGTATCTTTTAAGACAAAGCATAGATCTGGGTTAAATTGTTTTCTCCAGGCAACTGATTTATATGTTCATCTGTCTTTGTTATTAACAACTAGATATGTGTTGTGCTCGTCGGACCATTCGACTAGTGGTTCTAAATTTTCATTATTCGTAGTATTCTTCCATATTTCGCGGTGGCTGTTGAAAGAATACACGACGAAGTATATAATAAATAAAGTGTGAATGGTTCTTTACCACAATATAGTTTTCATGTAGTGGCTGGGGTTATGTATGTTAACTACGGTAATCTCTCCAATTTGGTGATCACTTCATGTATCTTGTTGGCAGACATTTGTTTCGCTCGTCTGCCGCCAAATTTTGCTTATTTATTTAGCGTTACCCAGGGTGCATCACTTGTAGACGAACTAGCATTTCAATGGTTGATAAGGATCGTGGATTGTTCTACGATTTCATATACAATAGAATCAATCAAAAATAACTTAACTAGGAAAAGCATTTTAAGAATTATAAATTATTTGAATAGTTAACAAATACCTCCATATCTATTAAATATAAATTGCTTTGCTGTCTTAGCAATAAATTGTATTTAGTTTTACAAAAACTGGACCTAAGCTCATCCGGTTCGAAGGACCACCGTACAAAATTCTATGAATAAATTCTTATATATTCGAGTATAATATATTTGAACGTTTACTTATGGCCAACGTGATAGTTAACTATCGCAAAAACAATAACACTCAGGTATAGAATATAGAAAAAGGACAAGAAGTAACATCCCCTAAATATAACCTAGAAAGCTTAAAAGAAGATTTAACGAAATTTCTTTACAAATTACGACTGGCCACAAAATTCCAAAATGTGGATCGAGAAAATATATCGGCGGAAGAATTATACCAGCAACTTAAAAAATGCATTCATGAGGCTGCAAGTGAAGCTTTTGGGTATAAAGACAAACATGAAACAAAAAATCAAGAATGGTGGTCGGAGAATATGCAACCGTTAGTAAACAAGAAGAAAACTGGTAATCAGAAATGGATGTCAACCAGAAAGGAGGAAGATGTCTCTATGGAGGGAAGAAAAGGAAAAATCTAACTTACAGTTAATAGATCTGAAACAGTGGAAACACCATTATGAGGTCTTACTAACAGAGGATAGATGTAAATTCCAAGAGATCAAAATGAAAGAAATATCGGAACATACACAAATAATTGAGATAACAACCGGAGAGCTAGGCGATGCCCTCAAAAGATCGAAAAACGGTAAAATAGCAGAACTTTGAGACATCCCAATTGAGTTGGTAAAGTATGGACCAAAAATATTACATAAGATGTTAGTTCAACTATTTAACAAATGCTTAAAAGGACAAAATATGCCTGATAATTGGAATGTTGGATACATCAGCTTAATATTCAAGAAAAGCGATAAACGCAAATGCTCTAATTATATAGAAATAACTGTTATCAGCTTAGTGGAGAGGTTGTATGGTCGAATAATAAAAGAAAGAATAGAATCCGAATACGAAGACATAGAAGAACAAATTGATAAGCCCACAAATAAAGCTACAATTCATCAATAAGGACATTGCCTTGTACCTTGTGACTTGCACGTCGAAACGAGTGTTAACATAAATATAATTTGAACTAGAAAGTTATTGCAAACAGAATTTAGCAACTGATACAATTCAAATCCAAATATTATCATTCAGGTTATCATTCATAGGTAAGAAATTATGTAGCATTCTAAAATTCTTTGGTATATATGTTACCAGCAATGTCCGAAATTGGACAATCCTAGTATTGTACGGAAAGTCTTGTCCACTTCTAGCATTGTACCCCTTTAATGTACAATCTCCGAAATATACATAATCGTCGGACTTTGTATAAAAGAATTGCTGTACAATGTTCGAATTTCAATAAGTAGACATGCGTCAAAATGTGGGGAGAATATGACAGAGTGAAGAACAATTTCTTATTACACAACTTAACTTAACAATTATTTATATTTCAGTTTGAGACAACATTTTATCACATTGTCGATTCGAAAAAGAACAACAAAAGAAAATATAAAAATATCAAATGATTATCAAGAAATGTTCGATTTTTGATTTGGGTGTGTCGCTTGTCAATAATAATCTCATTCGAATCGATCAGCGTTTCGATAATCATTTTTAATTTTGATCATTTGAGTTGAGTCGGAAAACAACCGGCAAATTTGTTAAATAAAGTGATTTTTACTCAATGTAATGTGTCTGATTAGATAAGAGTTATCACTGGTTTTTGTTGTATGCCGTCTCTTATCTGAGATATTTTTAAAACGGCGTTTATAACAATTTTGAAAGATACCCACATGTTGTATTATCCAGTTTTTTTAAAAAGCGTCTAAAGTTTGTGTCCAGTACAATGCCAAAAAAAAAGGAGGCAATGTAAAGTATTACTTAAAAATTTGTACTGACCTTAATAAAACATTCATTTAGACTTAAATTATGTCTAATGGAATTCTGCCATCCTCTTTTGTTTCGTTCGAAGTAAGGAAACTTCGAAGTGATGTACTGATATATTTCTGAGAGTGTTGCTTTTTTCAAATGACTGCTCTGGATTGCCATCGTTATTAGCGCTACGTAGGAATATGGTGGTTTACTTTGGCTGTTGGTGGAAGATGAGGAATTGGACGTCGACGTGGCTGTTGAGGAAGATGGTTGAGGTTGAGGTGATTGACAAGATGAATTTGAGGCAGTGCGGAGTTCGTCGTTGGACTCTACTCCAGGTGTCTGTGGACCAGGAGTGGTACTACCACCGGTCAATGCTGAGTTGGCTATCGAAGTAAAAGGGTTAACAGGTGACATAGCTGAAAGAAAAATATAAAAGTGAAAATCAATATTTTTAAAATTTCTGATGCACAAATATTAATAAAAGTAATTTTATATAGTGTCGAAACCACTTATGGAACAAAAATTGTGTCCCTATCATGTAGGGTCTATAATGAATAATACGAGGTGAAATTTTGAAATTAATAATTTATCACGTGTTATGGTATTATTTTAAATTAGCTAAATACAGACAACAATACACTTATACAACATCTTTTGTCATGAATAGGTAAAAACTGTCTAGATAATCTGCTAGTTAAACTAAATCGGTAAAGAATGCGGATTGTTATCAATCAGTTGTTGGTGTGTTGACACCATTGTTGATTTAACTGAGATCCACCGAATTGAGATTTTATTGATGATCGGTTACAGGGAGAATTGTAGAAGTCACGTTGAAGTAGCAAACTTATTTAATCAGATGTATCCTCAGTTGCCTAATATTCCACAAGGTACTGTGTCTAAAACTCATGCACAAATTAGAGAACTTGTATATGTCAAACCATTAAAAAGAAAACAGAACTTCATTGAAGATGAGGTGAAAGTGGATATTTTGTTAAGTGTCGCATAGAATCCAATGTCAAGTTCACGTCAAATTGCATGTCAAAATAATGTGAGTCGCACAACTGTCCAGGTTTTTTCCTTTTTTCACTAGAAGACACAGAGCTACTATAAAAGTTCCACTTTTATGGTAGCTCTACTTTAGTGGTTTTCATGTTTATTTAGTGTTCAGTATGCTTATTTTTTGTAAATCTATGTTATAATCTAAGCTTCCTAAATAAACATTATTATTAGTATTAATTACAATAAATTTCTATTATTTATATTATTATTATTATTGTGTTTTATTACAATTTTTTACCCCTACCTACCACAAATGTGGTAGAAAGAAAGAAAATTCGAGAGGCAAAAGAGAGGTGGCTCTCCGATAGATGCAAGGAAATAGAAGATCTGGATAAAAAGTACGATAGCTTTAATTTACACAAAAAAATCAAAGAAATGACAGGTTCTAGAAAGCGTACAAAAACGAATATCCTTAAAAATGATAAAGGTGATATTATTACTGATATGAAGGAGAGATTATGTCACTGGACCAATTACATTCAACAATTATTTAATGATGAAAGAGAAGAACTGTCATTAGAAATCACCGAGGATACTGGACCACCAATATTAAGAGAAGAAGTCATCTATGTCATCAAAAACACAAAAGAGGGTAAAGCTACTGGACCAGATGAGGTGCCCATCGAATTATTAAAACTCATCGATGAAGATGTTATTGATGTAATGGTTGAACTCTTTAATCTAATATATCAAACTGCCACAATCCCCAGACAATGGCTGCAATCAAGCTTTGTAGCAATTCCCAAAAAACCAAGTTCAACAACTTGCTCAGACCACAGAACAATAGCTTTAATGAGTCACACACTTAAAACATTTTTGAAAATAATTCACAGCAGAATTGTTAAAACTCTTGAATATGAGATTAGTGACACACAATTTGGCTTTAGAAATGGTATGAGTACAAGAGATGCTTTGTTCGGCTTGAATGTGCTGGCTCAGAGATGCATGGACATGAATCAGGATATGTACTTATGTTTTGTAGACTTTGAAAAGGCATTTGATAAAGTTCAACATAAAAAGCTTGTAGATATATTAAAAAGCAAAAATATTGACAGTCGTGATCTGAAAATTATATCTAATTTATATTGGAATCAAACTGCCAAGGTAAGAGTTGACAGCCAGCACACCAAAAATATCAAAATACAGAGAGGAGTCCGCCAGGGTTGCGTGCAGTCCCCACTACTTTTCAATGTCTACATGAAGCGGTATTTCAAGAAGCGCTCTCAGACTCAATAGAAGGTATATCTATCAATGGTGAAGTTTTGAATAACTTACGTTTTGCAGACGATACAGTAATAATTACGGATAACAACAATGATTTACAGAACCTAATGCAACGCCTTAATGAACGCTGTCATGAGTACGGACTGAAGATAAATTTAAAGAAAACTAAATGCATGATCATGACTAAATCTGCACATGCAAATATCCAATTGACTATTGAAGATACTGCAATTGAGAATGTTAATAATTATAAATACTTAGGAACACGGATAACATCAGATGTAGACCAAACCAAAGAAATTAAGACACGTATTGAAATAGCACGTACATCATTTATTAAACTTAAAAAGTTTCTTTGTTGTCGGGATATAAGGTTAGAACTACGCCTGAGAATGCTTCGATGTTACGTGTTCTCTACTCTTCTTTATGGTCTGGAAGCTTGGACACTAAAACAAGTTCATCTGAATAAGTTGGCCGCCTTTGAATTTTGGTATTACAGAAGAATCCTACGAATATCATGGATTCAAAGAATGTCAAACATGGAAGTAACTAGAAGGATAGGAAATGAGGCGGAAATAATATTAACTATTAAAAGACGAAAACTTGAGTACTTGGGACATGTGATGAGAGGGCAAAAATACGCATTATTACAACTTATTATGCAGGGCAAAATCCGAGGAAAGCGAAATGTGAGAAGACGAAGAATATCCTGGCTTAAGAACTTAAGGGAATGGTTTGAATGCAGTAGTGCAGAACTTTTTAGAGCGGCAGTCAACAGAGTCCGCATAGCCATGATGATTTCCAACCTTCGATAGAAGATGGAACTTAAAGAAGAAGAACCACAAATGTGATATATCTAGGCGAATTGAAGGTAGTACCGTACAACCAGAAGTTTCAGAGACCTCAGATGCACAGAATGAGAAATCGAAGGGGTATACGTTTATAATTATTACAATAAATTTTTATTATTCTGTTTTATTACAACTTTTTACCCTTTCCTACCATAAATTTAATATGTCCTGGCGAGTTGAATTTAGTACAGTACAACCAGAAGTTTTAGAGACCCCAGATGCATAGAAAGAAATCGAAGGGGTATACAGTCATTCTAGCCGCAGCTGCAGAGTTTTTAGGTGCAGCGAAAATATCGCGGTGTTGGAGGTTAATAGATATTCACATTTAAAGAAATTCCTCAACAGGAAACAAAAAAAGTCAGCAACTTAAGACAAAGTTAATAGAAATTTCATAAGTATAATTCTGTATTGATAATAAAAAAGTCTTGAGTCAAAATATAGATTTTGAGTGATGAAGTTTTTATTAACCTTAAAAAAAACGATAAAAAGTAATAGAAATCGACTGCTTTTCATCTCTATTTTGAAATTAACTCTCAAATTCAATCGCTTTTTATCGGTTTTTTAACGTACTAAAATACTTTTAGTACGTTAATTTGTTTGTTTAAAAATAATCGATATTTTTGACTTAAGAACTTTTTAATTATCAGTACAGAATTTATATATAAGTTTTATTAAATTTTACAGAAAAAATAAAATTCATACAAAACAGATTACTTAAAAATGATTACTTCGTTTCTCAGTGTAACTATAATTTGACTACAGTTTTGAACGACTTCCTCATTACTTTTCTTCGTGTAGTATGTAGTTTCATTGTCACTGTCACTCCGAAATTTCTGTCCTCCCAACATCAAAGGTTCCGACAAAGTCGCTTCTTGTGATAGCAGAGAACTACGAACACGGTTCTGGGTTCTGTGTTCGTAGTTCTTTGGTGATAGTAGGGAGTACTTTAAGTACATGGTTCATCAAACTAATAAATTAATCTAGGATCTTCACATTTTCTAGCGTTGGGTTTTTTAGAACGTGGAGTGAATATTGATAGTAGCCAGTCTTTTGGTAAATAACCAGTCTCGTAGATGTTGTTGAATAGCTTCGTAAGAGCTGTGATTTGGTGTGCCTCTAATAGCTTTAAAATTTCACCATCATGGTCCTGGTGATTTCCATCTTTTATCCGCTTAATGTCCATAGTTACTTCTTCGTTTGTTATTTCTGGGCCGTAGAGATTAGTTATTTCAGTTGGACTTCGCGCTACAGCTTCAAATAATTCTTGCATATATTCTGTTCATGTTCGTAATTTATTTTCAATGGTAGTTAAAATCTGGAGAACAGGCAAGGAACGGAATTTTTGGTGGCGGATGCTGGGGGTGTTGGGTTGTAGTGCCATTGGAGAGAGATTACCTATATTAAGCAAGGAGCAACATTACATAACTTTTCCAGTGAGTGTCTTTTATTACAAATAATTGGTGTGTAGCTTTGTAATGGGATAGTGAAGCGCAACAAATAGCCACTCCTATTCAAATCTCAACCTCACCTGCTCGTATGATGATCTAGATCATGGTCTTCTGGTACATCCTGCTAGATAACTAACGAGGCTCTGACGTCCGAGTGTTTGCCGGGATAAGCAATCAACCATTTACTGGCCAACGGCTTAGGGCGGATGAGCTAGTAAGTGGAAGGACACTCTGTTGTTCTGAGACTGAGAAATTGGTCTCGAAGGCGGAAGAACCAAGAAAGTGGTCAACGGCATCAGAATGCAGAAGGCAACGAGAAACCACTGCATTAAAGGTCCCTGATGACATCTCTAGTATAAATTATAATGGCTAGCACTATTTGCGCAAGAAACATTATTGATTATGGTAATCGGAGACCAAAATCCGGCAGGGGAGGACAACCATCAGAACGCAAGGCCTCCTCGGTCGTCAACATGCGAAACCCTTGCACAAAATACCACAAAAAAATACTCAACCTCTCAGATAAAAATAGCTACCTGGAATGTAAGAAGTATGTATCAGCCTGGAAAACTACACAATGTTATTAAAGAGAAGGAGAGGCTAAATATAGATATACTTGGGGTTAGCGATGTACAGTGGTCAGGAAATGGAGAGATATCAATAAATAACCACAATATTTATTACACTGGAGGAGACAAAACTGATCATCGATACGGAGTAGCTTTTATCATAAGCAACACTATTAAAAAATCAGTGTTAGGTGTGATTCAAGTCTCAGAAAGAATAATAATGCTAAAAATTCAAGCACGGAACTGTAATATTAATATGATCCAAGTTTACGCTCCCACTGCTGATAAGACCGAAGATGAGATCGAAAACTTTTATTTAGAATTGCACAATACAATCAAGTTAACAAAATCTA